ATAGCGTGAGAGCCATTACCGCCAACAGGTCTAGGGGCTAGAACAGGAGGGACGCTGCTTCAGACGTTCCGGGAATCAGGGAATCAAGCACATTGCTGGCCCTTCCTTTCAAAAGAGCCAATTAACGTCTTTTCTTCACTAAGTGAGCAGATGCCAGCTGGAAACAGACTCTCCCCAGTGTGGGGCACAGGTAGCGGCAGCAAGGGAGGCTGCTAAGTAAGGAGGCTGAGATGGTGGAATCAAGGACAGGAGCTCAGCGCAGGACAGGAGGCCTGGGCGGGGGGGTCCCGGAGAAGCTCAGTGACAAAATGATAGGCGCTAAATGGCAGGGAAGCGCCCGTGACAGGGCAATCCATCATTGACACGCTTATCTTCTGACGAGGAGAAGGACCCAGCTTCCAGATGCAACATTAAAAAGGAATGCTTCTACTGGGATTTGCCATGGCAGGTTTCCTGATGCTGCGCTTCACTCAGTCAGCTAATTATGAGCACATGTGACATTGGTATTTGCTTGTTCTACAGGGAAAAATCAATATCACCAGGAGGGATATTGTTTTGTCATTAAAAAGAAATTACTTACGTAGTAGTAAATAAACTCTTGTTGGAGAAAAAATATTTCCTTTGTATTTCTATGCATGCACCTTAGCGCCAACGGTTGTTTCTTTTGTTTCCCAGGGATATGGTGGATAAAAGAACAAGGGTTTTGGGTTTGGAAATTAACTCGACCACTTACTAGCTGTGTGACCTTAAAGCACTCTGAGTCTGTGTCCCCAGCTGTAAAATCAGGGAAGAGCCACCTAAATGTAGTGTCATGCCCTAAAGATGAAACAATGTAGAAGGAGCACTTTAGTACAGTGCCTACTGCATAATAAGTACTCAGTAAATTATAGCCTTTGTTCTTAATGACCCCGATACTCTCCTGTATAAATAGAAACACTTTACATTTTATTTATGCCATGTACCACCGATTCTATAGGACCACACATCTGACCGTGAGCTCAGCCTTTTCTCTAGCATTGCACACTCAACTGAGTATTAAACATTTTATCCTCCTCACGCTGATACAAGAGGTGTGCAATGAAAATTTAATATTCAATGACACTGTCGAAGGGAACAGTTTCCCCTGCCTGTCTTCTACCTTTTCAGACAAAGAGAGGATGCAGTGCTAGCAAACGCGACTGAAAAGCCCCTGATTCCTCTCCCACTGCCTGGATGCTGTGAACAACAGCACTGTTTGAAGTGCTTTTCAAAAACTAGAAAGTGATTTCACAGACACTTCGATGGTTAATGTTATGTGGTTAGGCTATGGTTCCCAGTGGTTTTGACAAAAGCTAGAGTAGTTGCTGTTCTGTAATGTAATGTAATGTAATGTAATGTAATGTAATGTAATGTAATTGTCTTCCATAATGTAATCTGATGTAATGTAATCAATAAATCAGTTGGAACTAGAGTTCCTTAGGGTGGGATCTGCTTTCAGATTATAACATATATATTTTGGCAGAACTCTCTCTCTCTCTCGCTCTAGCTCTTGCTCTTGATTTTGCACCCTTCCTGTCACCTGACCTACGAATCTTGGGACACAAGACATGTGTCCAACCTGCTGTCTGACCTACAGATTTTGGACATCTCAGCCACCACAATCATGTGAGCCAATCTCTTGAAGTAAATCAAATCTCTCTCTACATATATACATATATATATGTATGTATATATGTATCTATGCGGAGCCCTGGTGGTGCAGTGGTTAAGAACTTGGCTGCTAACCAAGAGGTCAGCAGTTCAAATCCACCAGTCGCTCCATGGAAATCCTACGGGGCAGTTCTACTCTGTCCTATAGGGTCGCTATGAGTTGGAATCAACTCGACAGCAATGGGGTATGTATCTATGTATCCATATATTTGTATCTATATCTATCTATCTATATACATATATATATATGTGTGTGTGTATATATATATATATATATATATATAATGTCTCACTGATTCTGTTTCTTTGGAGAACCCTAAGGCACCTTCCCACTTGAACTCACAGCAATCTTGTGAGGTAGGCAGGATAGATGCGATTAGACCAATTTTACAAATAAGGACACCAAGACTAAGGGAGGGCAAATTACAAAGCCATAGTACTTAAACATATTTTCTATGAGGGCTAATCTGTGGGTATGGAGAAGGCCAACCTCACTGAATTTTGGAAAATTATAATTTCCCAACAATGGAAGCCTGTTGTAGAAAGAACCAGTGTAACCAGTTAGTAGACAGGGGAGCAGAATGCCTGGTGGAAAGCAAACAAAATAGCAAATCAAGAGGCATAGGGTTTTGTATTCCAACTTCACAATTCATTTGCCTAATATGCCTCAACTTCTCTATCCATAAACTCGAGGAAAAAAATGCTATTTAGAACCTCTCTTCCAAGTATATTACAATGTCATTAGATATATAGAACTGTTACATATGACTGAGGATATGATATTCACAGAGGTTTTCTGTTAACCATAGTAAATATGAACTTTTAAAAGTGCATAAATATAAGGAAACAATTTTGATACTATATAGAAAATCTTAGTGATGAAGGAAAAGAGAAAAATATTTTTCCAACCATATATGTGCTAGAAGATGATGAAAAATTAATAAGATTAATTAGCATGATAACTTTGCATTACATATTTAAAGTATTTTTAGAAGTTACAGAGGCAAACTAAGAGATAAGGACATGTAATAAATTTTCTGAAGGCATAAAAATATAAAAACCTTCTGATTTGGGGAAATTTTCTTCAACTAATCACATATAACAGTTCTAAAATAATCAGTTCCTCAGTGCTATTAATACTGAGAAAGCCTTCCTGGTATTCATCAACCTTCAGGACTTCTAACGGCCCTGACATATGCCCATGGATATCTTATTACCCGTAAGAATTCCTAGTGGAGTATAGAAATGAAATTCAAGAGCCAGTCTCTCTTTTTGGAATGAGATGTAAGTTCTTATAGATAAGAAGACAAGACCAATGAAAGATCATTAAGGGGAACACCATTTCAAAATAAGAAACAAACACGTTCCTAGTTTATCATTTCAACGTGGCAGCTCAAGGACCTTGGCATCTTGGAAAGTCACCGAATATGCAGTCAAGAACCTAGTCGCACTAAAATGATCAGCAAAAAAAAAAAAAAAACGCCTATAATAATGGATCACCATTAAGCTGTCGATTGCTTAGGCCTGAACATAATTTGCCCGATGATTCTTCAGAGAGCATGATGCAGTTTCATTTCAATATTGGGACAGATTTTCCAATGTGGCAGCAGAAAAGGCCTGACTAAAACTCCCTCTCCACCCCTTAATTCATTCATTTAATAAACATCGTCGAGTGTCTGCTATTTGTTAAGATTTCTATCAGAAAATCCAGTCTAGAGGGGAGACAGGTAAATAAAGAGGTACCTTTGTTTGTGTTAAGCTCTAGAATGGAGGAGGGTATTTGGTACAATGACAAGTGGACCAGCAAGCCCTTACAGAGGATGAAATGAATAAGCAAGGTCTCAGAAGAAGGCAAGCAGAAACAGGGTCACTAAGAATAAAGATTCTAATTGACTGAGTGCTTATTATGCAGGAGGCCCTGTGCCAAAGAAGGGGTCGTTTCTTCTCACAGAAAACAATATGGGCAAAGGCAGGAAGGCAGGAAAAACTTGGTGAGTCCTACGAGTTCAATGGAGTTCTGCATGACTGGAGTGCAGAGCATGGTTAGGAGAAGGGAGAACATGATAAACGAAGCAAACAGCAATATCGGAAGAGCCCATCCTTTAGGGCTTTCTACTCCACGTTAAAATCGAATATTGGAGAGCTGAACACAATTATTGGAATATTGGGAAGAATTAATCCATAAGGCAATGGGGGTGGATTTTTACTAAAGAACCATCAGTTGGGTATCAGCAAGGCATACAGTGAGCTAGAGGAAGGAAATCTAGAGGTAGGTAGACCAGTTAGAAGACAGTTTCAAAAGCCCAAGTAAGACATGAACAGGGCTGAACTACGGCAAGGGGGATGGACGAGAGATTAGAGGTAATGAAGGGATTCAAAAGTAGAGCTCATAGGCCAGGTGGAAACGTGAGGTGATGAAGAGGGAAGGTGAGGGCGGCTGTCATGCCCTCTGCTTGGTTGACTGAATGGACAATGGTGTCATTAGCTGAATTAGGGACCGCGTGAAGAGGGATAGGCAGAGTACGCGTAAATCCTCATTTATCCCTCTTCTATAAAACTAATCACATGTCCTCTGGATTGCAGTATGTGTGTGTGTGTCATTCCATCACCCCCTCCCCCACCAGACCCACAAAGGGCCTTGAGGGAAAAATGTCCGTGTTGCATTACATTGCCTCTGTCTCCTCCATTCAGCGTAACTGTACAGCATGATTACAGACCATCATCGGCCCGCTGTAGACAGCTAAGAAACATTTCTGAATGACTGATCGAATGAATGGATAAATCCAAGGGTTAGATGTAACAAAATTATACATTTTAGCTTTTGAGTGAAATAATTTTCTGTTAGAAGGCAAATCACTCACTTCAGCTGGGTAACAACACATACTATACAGCAATTAGCTTCATTCCAGACTCACAACACGCTTTGCAAATCCACTGTCTAATCTGAAAGTGACTCGAGGCTATCTACTACACACCCCCATTCTAAAGATGAAAATCGGGTTAAGAAAAGTTACAGGACTAGACCAGAGTCACAAAAGCCTTCTGGTGATGCGACAGGGAAGAGGCAGAATATATAAGGCTTCAAAATATCTGCCTGCTAAAATGTTTGCAGCATATTTGAAGGTAATACAAGATGTCAAATGTAGCGAGGGTGAATTAAGTTTTTTAAAGTGGTTGACATTTCACACGAAAAAATACAAGGCCCACATCCTGGCAACATTTTCTTAAATAATTATTCCCTCTGGCATTAAAATACAGTGACCAGAGCTCAGCGTTTAATCCTGTGTTATTATAAAAAGACAGATTCTTACCGTGGTCTTCTGAAGACACTGGTGACCTAAAATGAAATAATAAACATGATCAATTTTTTTTTTTTTTGGTAAATGATACTGACAGTTATTAAGTTCATCATTGATCAAGAATAATTTCTATAGAATTATACCCTGAAGATTCAGCTACATAGAAACTTGGTAATAAATAGACAGCATAATCAATGTGTTAGCTGCATGGTATATTCCAATTAATAACCTCAAAATTTTACCTGGGTTGGTTGGGTAGTAAAACCAAAAAACCAAACCAGTTGCTGTCGAGTTGCCTCTGACTCATGACAACCCTGTGTGTGTCAGAGTGGAGCTGTGTTTCATAGAGTTTTCGATGATTGGGATGTTTCAGAAGGAGATTGCCAGGCCTTTCTTCCAAGGTGCCTCTGGAAACAGCCAAGCTTTTGGCTGCTAGGGGAGCTCTTAACCGTTTGTGCCACCCAGGGGCTCCTGGTTAGGTGGTAGGGGTTACTAAAATGTCAGCCTACTGTATAAGGTCACAGAGCTGCAACAAACTCAGACGAGTCTTCTAAGCAATAAGTCTGGGTCGATCACACCGAAAAGAGAACTCATGGAAATCTGGCATTGGCTGACATCCTGTGACAACATCTGGCACTGAAGTCCAGGCCTCCAGAGAAAATGTCAGGGATGAGAAGGAGCACAGGATTGAGCATCTATCAGCAAAAAGAAACCTACTTTGACAGTTTTTAAAAAATGAGACAGAAGTAAAAGAAATGTCATGTCGCCTTATCATTACTGTTTCATTTCCACTCTTGGTGGACATGATGAGCATGACGTAGACCCTCCGCGTTCTGGCCTAGTGTCTCTAAACCTGTGAGAACCAGGGTGCGGTTCCGGGGCAACCTTTAGGCCCCACAGAGCGTTTATAAATCGACTTCTGCACACCATTTGTGGGTTCGGCTCAAACTATGGAAGTCAGACAGCAAACGGGCATCATATCAAACCCTCTAGAAATAAAAACCTTTCTTCTTCCTCAGTGGACTACTAATTGAGTTACTTTCGGCAACACAGATTCAACCTTATCAATGAACCAAGCTCAAGTCTCAAAGACTATACAGTTGTACCCATCAATGCGTTCTCTTCTGGGCAGAAAGAGACACACTTAAATACTGCATCCAGAGGTATTAGGATTTTAAAGGCAAAGGCAAGAAATCAGGTGTTCCCTCCAGCAGGGAGAGGCCTTCTTCTCTAAACAACGAACCTCCTGGGGCCTGTAGTAGGGAGATGGCCAAAGACAAACCAGGAGTTTGGCAATAAAGGTGCCATTAATATGATGGATGTTTAGGAGACCTGACAACAAGTGTCAGGGCCAGAATCAGCCAGTTGATGCACACCTGGTTGGGGGAAACCTCTAGCTACTTCGGAATGCTTGATACGGCTTCCCTTCACTGACTGATCAGCAGTGTTGTTGCCCATTATGGGAGGGAACGGTAAAGCATGAAGACACAGTAGTCATGGTGAGAAGGCCATGAACCTCTATCCACGGCAAGGTGTCAAACCATTTCAACCTTAAAGTCTCTTGAAATAACCGCCTTTTGCATACTAAAATTACAGAGTCCCAAGATCTGGTGGGAAGAAAACTGGCCCCAGAAGAATGGACAGATGAAGCAACGGGAAAGCACCTACCACAGTCACTAAGTCACGGCCGCCCTCAGTGGCCCCAAAAACCTGTTTGCCTCCCCAGGTGGAGCTGATCTATCCTCCCTGTGGAGTCCCCTATATTGCACTTCCCAGACACCACTATTCCCCCACTAGGTTGAGAGTTCCTTGAAAACTATGACTGTTTCTTATTTAGAACACAGTGGGCCCTTGAATAAAATTTGTTGATCTTAATTGATTTCAGAGTGGCCATGCTGGTATTCAGACTCAGATCCATTTTGGAGCTCCCTAAAAAGTCATCAGCCCAGGGAACGAGCCAGAAGCCCCAGAGTGGCTATAATGTGGGCATTCCCAGATCCAAACGACAGGCATCCCAATGCACACAGCACCAGAGAAGCCCATAATGTGCCTGAACGATTAGGAAAAATAATATCCATTGCCATTGAGTTGATTCCGGCTCATAGCGACCCTATATGACAGAGTGGAATGGCCCCATAGGGTTTCCAAGGCTGTAATCTTTATGGAGCAGCCCTGGTGGCGTAGTGGTTACGAGCTCGGCTGATAACCAAGAGGCTGGCAGTTCGAATTCAGCAGCTGCTCCTTGGAAACCCTATGGGAGAGTTCTACTGTATGCTATAGGGTCACTATGAGTCAGAATTGACTCAACCTCAACTTTTTTTTTTTTTTTTTTAATCTTTATGCAAGCAAACTGCCGCGTCTTTCTCCCCTGGAGCGGCTGATGGGAAATAGGATCGAAGCTGAATTTAAAGAGAAGCATTGATTTGAAATACCGTTGTTAGTTGAGGCCAAGTCGGCACCAACTCATCGAAAGCCCAGGTACACAGTTGCCCAGCCCTGCACCATCTGCATGTCTGGGTCCATTGTTGCAGTCATTGTGTATTCTGAGTGCTTTCCAACGTAGGGGGCTCATCTTGCAGCACTGTATCAGGCAATATTTGGTTGAGATCCACAGGGCTTTCATTGGCTTTTGGAAGTAGATGGCCAGGCCTTTCTTCCTCGTCTGTCTTAGTCTGGAAGCTCCACTGAAATCTGTCTACCATGGGTGACTCTGCTGGTATTTGAAATTCTGGTGGCATACCCTCCAGCCTCATTGTAACACACAAGCCACCACAGTACGGCAAACTGACAGATGGCTGGTAAAGATTTGAAATAAGATGAGCTAATTCCTTAAGCTGCCTAAGGCATAAAAAAGAGTCTGCAAGAAGTAAACATCTTTACTTCTGATGTTTTCTGATGGCAAGGAAGCAAAATCCTGTCTTGGATTGTTTGCAATTAATTTCTCACAGAGTTATAGGGACAAAGAAAAACCCATGCCAACAACCAACCACATGTCTCAGGTGGAGGAGCTTGTGAAGCAGGGTTTCCACTGCTTTTTTGTAAAAGCAAAGAACTAATATTAAATCTGAAAAATTCCAGATGGCTCCTTTAAAGTCCCAAGGGGAGGCATTCTGCAGTATGTCCAGAAGTGGGGAAGAGCTATGGATTTCGGCGTGCTTTCTGTGCTGGAAGTCTCCCACACCCCTGGATGGCTGGAATTTGAAGACATATGGAGTATTTCAACCCTCACTCAGTATTTCACCTTCCACAGCAACGAGTCCCTAAATTACAGCACAGAGGCACACACATCATCTGTTATTTCTGGAAATGGGCATAAAACGTTTTCCAGAACTTAGCTCAGAAAAGGAGAAATATGAAATCAGCAATAGATGTAGTTATTTTAAACACAGAGGTTGAATCCTAGAAATAATATTCCTCAACCTGATAACTAAGGGATGCAGGAGAGTTCTCTGCGGATTCTCCCACCGCACCTGGGAGACACGTGTGCTTGCCCCAGACTTTTTTTCCTGCATATATACTTTGTCTTCAAGACAGTGTCTGCCCCCGTGATGCGAGCTCTTACTGGCATCCAAATAACTCCGGGATTTGTATTTCTCCTCTTCACAAGTTACAGAGTTTGGGGGCATTTTCCTCTGTGTCACCACGGCCCTGGGAAAAGGCAGTTAAGAGAGGCTGAACAACAAGGGAACCGCATTCAGGAATGACCCATTCACTCAGTGGTTCATTTACGCATCAGCTCTGCGGAAGTCTGTTTGCATTTTTCCCTCTTTGAATGGCTTTCCTATGAGTTTTGATTTGAATATTTTTGGTGAAAGGCCCTTTCCAATGTCAACCATGCTTAGGAGAATATCCACATTTTCCTCTGGTGGTGAAGTGCTGAAGAGCTGGGCTGCTAACCAGAAGGTCGGCAGTTCGAATCCACCAGCCCGTTTGGAAACCCAACGTGGTAGTTCTACTCTGTTCTATAGGGTTGCTGTGAGTCAGAATCGACTCGACAACAACGGGTGTTTTTTTTAATTAAGATCACACTTCTCCAAATAGGGTACAAATGGGAAACTTGGGATTATGGTAGACTCTGGGAAAATGAGGCAATATTATTTCAGGCGAGGGATTACCCAATTTAACTGGTGGGAACTGAAAATATTATTTTAATACTGAAACTGCACATTATATATCCAAAAGCAAAAGTCACTTGAATTCTTAAAATAAAGCAACACACTTTCTTTTTTTTTATTTCTATGTTGGAAGCAGTCAGCTTTAGGCAATGTCTGCAGGCCCCCAGGGGGTGAGTTTCTTCTCCATGGAAAAGCCTGGAAATATATAATTACCTTCCTAAATACAGCTGTGACATCTGGGAATGGATCATTTTATCAGTTTAATTTATGCAGCTACCAGAAACCTGAGGGACTCAACATAAGGCACAAACTGGCTGTTGTTGCTGCGTGTTGTCGAGTGGATTCCAACTCACAGCCATTCCATGTCAGAGACCAGAACGGCCCCCTAGGTTTTTCTTGGCTGTAATCTTTACGGAAGCAGATCGCCAGGTCTTTCTCCAGCAGAGCTGCTGTGTGGGTTTGAACTGCCAACCTTTCCATTAGCAGCTGAGCGCTTAACCACTGCACCACCCAATGTGTGCTCCTTACACATGGTCTAGTGGCTACTATAGTAAGACTGCGCCGCATCTAGACCCCGTCATCACCGAGACTTAATGAATCTCTAAGAAACTCAAAGACAGTGATTGAGTTTGCCTCACATCATCCAGTTTCCTTCAAAGCCTCCAGTCTTTCAACTAGATCAATTATAAGGCTTAAGGACACCGAGAAATGTGCCCAGTTTTCAACCACAAAGTAACAATTGTTAATGTTGTTAGGTGCCATCGAGTCAGCTCCGACTCACAGCGACACTATGTACAACAGAGCAAAACACTCCTACGCCGTCCTCACAATCACTGCCATGTTTGAGCCCATTGTTGCGCCCATTGTGTCTAATCCATCTCGTTGAGGGCCTTCCTCTTTTTTGCTGACAGTAAGACATATAA